TTTGCCATTCGGCATCCGATAGTTTGGCCAACCATTCACCCGATACCCGCCGGCCTAATGTGTGAGTGTGAGTGTGTGTGTGTGTGTGCTATCGCTAATGGTGTGCACTTAATGGCCAAAATGAAATGTGTATTTCGCTTCTCTGCCCAATTCAATTGCCCAATTGCTCAACAGTTTTCTATTTTCAGTTTTCTATTTTCAGTTTTCAGCTAGTCGGCCCTAGCAAATTGCCAAGTTTCCTACGGTACTAATGCCGTTGCCCAAATGGATGCCCAAAATGCTGCCTGAAGTGTGCAAATCTCGGCCGTAATGAGCCACAGCAGCTCCCTGACTAAAACGGCATCTAACACACCATTAAATATCATTTGTTATGCCAAATTGTCTACGAGTGTATTTTGGTCGGAATGCTATCAATTCTGATACTGGCTGTCCATACGGGGATTTCGTGTCGTCTGATGATTGTTCTGCTGCCCAAGCTGTGGCTAATAGCTGCAGATAAGCCGTGATTATCTGAAAGTTCTGTTAGCCCGCAGCTGTAGAAGACCTTTAACAGCTAGACGAACGGAAAATCATAATTAATTTTCTCACTCTGAGTCTGCAGACTGGCCTTTTCCCCTCATTCAGCATAAGCATTTTCAATAAGAATGTTTAATAATAGAGTGAGCCAATGGCTATAATCCTTTGGCATCCTACACTCGAGGTGTTGTGTTGTGTGTGTGTGTGCGTGTGCGTGAATTGCGGTTGATGGCAGCTTTCAGGCCTAGTCGGCAGGCCGTCAGCGAAAAACGAAAAAATAAATGTGATGACAGACATTTGGACTGATTGACTGATGGGCATTAAGTAGCTAAAATTGCATAACATTCGCGACCAGCAGCGAGAACAGCAGCCTGGCTAGCCCAGCATCCAGCCCAGCATCCAGCCATCCATCCAGCCATCGGCAACATCTTTGTCTTAGTCTTTGACTTTGACTTTGGCGCTGCGTTCGATGTTGGCCTTTGTTTAGTTTTGTTTGGTTTTGCTTGGGCCATTCGCCAGTCGTATTGATGGCAGTGCCGCTGATGTTTAATGCTAATCCCAGTGTCTGTCAGTCTGTCAGTCTGTCAGCTGCCAGTGGGTAGGTGCCTCAACAGCAGCAGTGGCAGCACTTACAGCCGGAGGAGCTGCACCAGCCTCAGCCAGCAGCTGCAGGCGAAGTTATTGTTACTGTTATTGTTGTTGTTGTTGCTGCTGCTGCTGCTGCTGGCAGACGAAGATGAAGCTGGCATTGTTGTCAGCCTGGCAGCCTGCGCAGCCTGGCTAGCAGCCATCGCTGGCATTTTCATAAAGTCAGCAAACAAATGACAAGCTGCGAGTGCTTGGACTCTGCCTTCAACTCCTTTTCTAGCGCTTGCCCCGACTTCCTCTATCTCTGCTTGAATCTGCTAGCCAAACTCTTTCGCTAGCTATTCAAATAAGCCGCATCATGGCTACTGTTTCATGTGTGTTAGCTAAATTCGCTAGTGGATGCTGCTCCAGTTCCTACTTAAAACACTACATCTGAATCCACTTGAAGATTTCTTTCCATTTTGCTTGCCCATGCTCAGCTTCGTTCATCTTACTTTTCCTTTCATATCCTTGCCATCTTCTGCTCTTCAAATTGTCTTCAGTTTCACCTAGGCACATCTAGACATTCATTTTAAGCTTTATCTTGAATTCCTTCCTTTGTCCGCCGTCTCCTGCTTTGACTCGCGTGTCTTTTAAAGCATTTTCATCTGCTGACATATCTCCAGCTTCATCGCCTCTAACTCCTCCTCTGCGTCATGCACCTACGCTGTCTGCCTCATTAGCAGCCTCCTTTCAAATCTGGCAAGGATCAGCTCTATTCCAATTACTCTTGTTTTCGGTTCATCTCTCTGCCAGCATCAGCTTCCTGGTCTCTAAGCTCCTCGTGCTGCGCTCATTAGCAGCCCGAACAGCGAACTTTGTGTGACAATTTGTACCACACAATGGAACGCATTGTTAGCAGAACTCTTAGATCGCCTCGACGTTGTCCCTCCCCCCCCACCCCCTTGGCGGGTGTATCCGTTACTTGGCTGTTAGAGTTACCGCTGCTGTTGGCCATTTGTTCTTGTTGTTTGTTTGACGCTCGAAATTGCCCATAAAGTACAAAAATGTATGTGCCAGGCCATTGGCAATGACCACAGCAGATGCAGCAGCAACAACAACAGCAGCAGCAGCAACAGCAGCAACAGCAGCAACAGCAACTTGGACAACTAGCAACAGGAACCAGAACAATATTTAGCCAAGTTCATGAAGCGAACACTTTGTCGTTGGCCAAGTTTGCCGCAATCGTAGTACTGGTTGTTGTTGTTGTTGTTGCTGTTGCCGCACGCAATTTGGAATTTATTTGCACAATAATTGGCAAGCTGAATCAATAAACGCTTGCGGGCAGCCAAAAGCAATAAATTCACAATTGCCACTTCTAAATGACGATAATGAGCACGAGCATCATCGTGTTTAATCCCGATGATGATGATGATGCCGCTGCGGGCCAGAGGGCGCACAATGCGAGCATCGATGAGAAATGACCCAATAAGCCAGGCGAATAAATGAAAACGCGGCGCGAGAGGTGCAGAAAAAAAGGGAAATTGAATTTGCAGGCGAAAACAATCGATAAATTTATATCGATTTATGCGAGATTGCCTCGCAGCTTGCTGGCTTGCTTGCCAGCACATAAATCAGACGGCAGCCAGGCAATTAAAGCTGAAAATAAGTGCAAGATAAATATGAAATTTCGCACTTATCGATAATTGAACGTTGATCGATAAGTAATTGAGCGAGTGTGCTAATTGCAGGCAAATGTGTGCCACTTTCCCAGCTCATAGCTCGTGGGGCGTGGTTGGTTAACGAACAATCGAATGGCAAAGAGCAAATGCAATTTAAGCATTTTGTGTCCAAGTCGAGCAAACAAAGCTCAGCGGAAATGGATGGAGTCGAGCTGATAAGCGCGATAAAGGCTCACAGCCAAACAGCCAACAAAACGAGCCACCAACAGCAAATAAACCAGTGCTCCGCACGAAGAACGGTCAACGATTTGTGGCACACACATGCGACCCAAAGTTGCCAGATACAAGCGAGAGATACGCGCAGTTTTGTGGCAGCAACAACTTCCTCATACCAACAGCAGTAGCAAGCAGCATCCAGGCAAGCAGGCAGCGAGGCAGCGAGAGAGAGAGAGAGAGAGTAAGGCTAGCCCGCCGTCAGGGAGCTGGTGCATAGCTTAATTAGTGCAATATAGTGGCGAGTTCGTTGCCTAAGTCTTTTGTGTGTGCCTCGCTTCAAGTGAAGCGAATAGCGCACGGTTGTTGCCAAAGACTTTTGTTTTCAGATGTTATCAAAATATTGACGCCAAGACCACAAATCACAAACGAGCAGCAGAAACAGCTGCAAGCACCGTTACGGCAAGCGCAAGTTCGTTGCCTAAGTCTTTTGTTTTCATTGATCGAAGCAGTGAGAGCTTTCCAGCTGCATGCCAATAAAACAGTTGCAAGCGGCTTGGCTGCCCATGTCCATGCCTCTTGTTGTTAACTATCAGAATAATGACAGGTTCGTTGCTCAAGTCTTTTGTTTTATTGCCCGAAATAGTTGCAAGTTTGTTGCCCAAGTCTTTTGGCTGCTAGCTATCAGAATAGTAATGGGTTCGTTGCCTAAGTCTTTTGTTTTCATGCCATCATAATATTGATGTGAGGTGCTGAAGCGCAGCGTTCACGCCCAAAACACACACACACACAGTCCACAAATCTGTATCCAGCATCCATTGCCGCAAGCACCGTTACAGCGCAGCCTTCAAACCGTCGAGGCCGTTGAGGCCGCCGCCTGCCCGAGCAATAATCAAAAGGCGAATTAAAAATAGACATAGAAATTAATTGCAATGGCAGCGGCCAAGCAACGATGTGGCCAACGGGGTGCGGCTGCGACAGCTAAACGCATCTTGGCATCTTTGTGGCATTGGCATGAAGATGCATCTACAGCTGCATCAGATAATGAATTATATGGTGAGCGGCAGGGAGTGGGAGCGGGCGAAATGAAAGAAAGATTGTGAGACGAGCTCTACGCTGGACCGACTCTGACTAGGCGTTGGGGCGTTGTTTCTGCTGGAATTGTTGCCGCCTGTCTTTTGTCTTGGAGCGGCTGGCTGCTCTTCTTCTTCTATTTTGAAAGCGGCAATTCATTTTCGTTTTGTCAGCAGCAACAGCACCAAGAAGAAGAAGAAGAATAACAAGAAGAAGAAGAAGAGCAGCAACACTTAATTGTTGGCGAGTCGTCAACAGTTGGTGGTGCAAACAAATCAAAAGCAACGTCCAGCGGCCTGTTGGCGGTAACTATTGCTGCTGCAACAACAGCAACTGTTGGTGCTGTCTAAGCGTTGCTCGCATTACTCAATGTCATTGAAAGCCGCCAACGCTGCCGCCAAAGCTAAACTTGCGGCTGATCGTCAATTAGGTGGGGACCAAAGACCACTGACATTTATCTGCAGCCACGCAGCCCTAATTGTGAAGTATGGCCAGCAACAGTTGCAATCATTGCTGCCAGCCCAGCACCGGCCCAACACCGGCCCAGCTAGCTCAGTCAGTCAGTCAGTTTGAGTGACTAATTGCCAACTGATTGCAGCGCAACGCTTTGCCTTATAAATAGGCCCAGCAGCAGCAGCAGCAGCAGCAGCAGCAGCAGCAGCGGATCACAGCTGAGCCGAGTGTCCAGTGCCCAATGCCGACTGCAGCAACAGCGATTAGATGCTGCCGCTGCCAGCCCCCAATAGCAACATTAAGTGCAGTGCTGTTAATCAACTGCAGATCGCTGCAGCTCAGCAACACCTGCCATTGGCATCTGAGTGCCAACTGTAAGTAAAAGCTGCCCAAAACCATCGCAGCGCGATCTCTTCTGCTGTGAAGCTGAACTCCGATTCACGCAGACTCGATGAGGCGAAATCGACTTGGATTCGCATCGGGATGGCAACTTACCTTCAGAAGTTGCAGCTCGAAATGTGATGCCGATGAAAACTGTAAATTGAAATGGAAATAAAAATACAGTTAGTTCAAGTTTGTGGCATTTCATTGAGAGAGAAGACTTACAGTAGAATATGCTAATACCAAAAATAATGTCTTAGAAGTAACACTAAATTTTATAGCTAAATAGCTTGATCTGTGTATGGACTCATTTGCATTTGATATACAAAATTATTGTATATACTCAACAGACAGATGGGCAGATGGGCGTGGTTAGTTAAATTAAACTTGTCTTAAAGTTTGAATTGATTATACATATATATATTTATGGAAACTCCTAGCCTTTTTATAGTCTAATTATATATTAATAGATATTACGAATATCCTGCTCCACTTTTCATTTAAGCAAGAGTATATTCACGCCTTGGAAATATATTTAGTAACTAATCAACAAACATACATTTTTTTGTATATATCACCAACAAAGTGCTCAGCAGGTCTGCATATATGTACCTACATCTATATTAAAATCTCAGTAGATAGCCTGAAAATCCCAGCTAATTTACAACTCAATTCGAACTTTATGGGTCTCTCAGCATTACTCTGAATAATCGCCCAGGGAAAATTAGCATAACAAATACTGTCTAGATATTAAGAAGCATGTTTATTATGAGTGGGTCTTGGTAAGATATTGTTTTTGCTTCTGTTGGCTTTGTTTTTTTTGTTTTTTTTTTTTTTTTTTGGGGGGGGGGGTGCACAATGCATGTAAAGCCCATGCATAAATCTTTAAGTCCCATCTGACAGCATTTCCCCAAAAATAGTCAAGCTTCTTCGCTTTCAACTGCCACTCCACAGCAGCAGCTTTCTTTGGCTGGAGCTAATCGGACGGACACATCTCGGCCGCATCTTTCAACGCTGCGCGTAAACAATGCGCCTTAATTATTAGTTATTCCCGAATCTGATCATAATAACAATCAGGGGAAATGCACTTTATGGACGAGCATGCAGCTGGGCAAGCGCGGAAAACGAGTTTTTTCGATTTTCATTTTGATTTTGATTTTTCATTTTCTTCTTTTTTTTTTTTTTTTTAATTTAAGCTACTTTTCTTTGGCTTTGAAGATGAACAGCAGGCGAATGCATATTTGAGCTTATTTGATGGTCAGCTGTGAGCTGTGAGCTGTTGTCGTAGTTGTAGTTGTTGTTGGTGCTGCTGCTGCTGTTGCGGCATTGTCATCATCATTATGATCATTATGCCGTTGGCTGGCAGTTGCTTCATTCTGGTTTCCAGCAGCGGCAACAACATGTTCTTCGGCTAGTAAACCGCTAGCTAACCGAAGGCCCCGACCCGGCCCGCTTGCTTTGGCTGAAAAGTTGCTGCGTAACGGTATCTACTACTCGCAGCAGCTCCCAGCTAGCGCGTAGCTCGTCTAATGGGTTATTGATATACGCGCTGACTGGCTGAGAAAAAATAGACGCAAAACAAAACAAAGCAAAGCAAAACAAAACAAAATAACACAGAAGAGAATGAAGAATTGGAAAAGCGAACAAGCGAACAGGCGAACAAGCGAACAGGCGAACGTATTGCCATGCCACGCCCATATCGACCCGACCCCTGGCAGCCACCAGGCAATAAGCAGACGGCCAGCCCACCTGGCCTCTAGTTTGGTGGGGCACTCGCCGCCAAGTCGTCAAGTCATCATTCAATCGACTGCAGTAACAGCAGCAGCAGCAGCGAGTGGAAAGTGCAAAAAGAAATTGTTGCGCTGCATGAGGCAGCCGGAGATCGGGACATGGACTAGCGGATATATTTGCATGCCACCAATAACAACAACAGCAACAACAGCAACCATAGCAGCAGCTACAGCAACTATAGCAACAGAAACAGCCACGGCAATAACATGCTGAGTAATTAAAGTAACAACTACAGCACGAACAATTAAAAACAAAGACAGCGAGAGACAGAGCAAGAGACAGAGCGAGAGAGAGAGCGAACAAGATCTGGAGACAGGAACATGACGTGTCGTGTCTTCCTCGAAGCCAGCAAAAAAAAAAAAGCATATATATATCCACTAATATATATATGTGTATAAGTTCATATAAAGTTGCAGCTACAATAACAATAAATGTTTGCTTTCTATTTGATTACTTGACCGAATTTGAAAAAAAAAAAAAAAAAACAAAAGACTTAAGACACAAACTTGGCCAAGCAATGCTATGCGGCAGGTTAGTTGGGCGGCATTCCCATTAAGCTCTATGCAAATGTGCAACGCCTGGCTGAGCGGCTGCCACCACTGTGGTGCGGTGGTGCTGCTGTGAATAACAAAAGGCACAAGCAACGGCAACGGCAGAGGCAGAGGCGGAGAAAAAAAACGATGCCAGCTCACTGCAGTTGCTCCAATTTCCAAAAGAAAATTCTATGGAGCGCGGAAGGTAATAGAGTGATAGATAGAGAGAGAGAGAGAGTGGGAGAGGCACTCAGCGAGAGAGAGGGCACTTGGCATTCGCACACTCCAAAAATATACTCTACTCACACACACACAGACACACATACAGTTGGAGTGAGGCATTTGCATGCTGCCCAAGTCTAATTAAAGCTCAGGCGCTGCTCATTAAAACTACGGCCTAGTGGCTCAACGAATGAGCACACAACCACTAATATACAGTTGAACTGGGCTCTTGTCCGCTGGACACGTCAAGTGCAATGATATCATTTAGCAGCATGTTGAAATCCAAAAAAAAAAAAAAAGAAAAGAAAAGAAAAATGAGCAAGAAGAAGAAGCAGAAGAGACGAGCACTACGCCCAACTTGAAATGACACTCGAAATGGGAACACTTTCACACGTTGCACGGACAATGGCACAAGTGCTGGAAGTGTAGCTGTTAATCCAGCTCCGGCAAGTGCTTTCCACTTCTGCGGCTCATCATCATAAATGTTCAACATGATGCCGCGAGTCATCATCATTCAATCATTCAAACGCCAGCCGTGAGCTGCTAATCAAGTTAGTTATTTAAATTTGTTTGCTTTTTTTTTTTTTTTTGAGAAAAGAGAGAACTGAATATTACGAATTCTTTTTCTGTCATCTTTATGGCATAGAGAATGCGAATTATAACAAGGCCAGGCTTTGTGTATGGCTTCAGAACTTTTGTCGTGGAATTTGTAAATGGAATAGTATTTCGGATGCTAAATTCTCACTCGCTTGTTTGTCTTTGTGACAGAACTTGAAATGGAAATTGTAGAAAGCAAAGCTGAATTTATAGAAATCAATGAATAGCTGCTCTTAGGCTGACTCAGCTGCTAATAAATGACGCCTAAGCTTCCCTTTTGTGACTTGGCTTATAGCTGCTGATTCCATCAAGAACCAATAAACCTCGATTTCTGTAGCTAGTTGCCTTTCCTTTAGATAATAAACTATTTCTCCATCATATCTGCAATACCTATAAAAAAAGGGTTAGCTCTAGGAATTCGAATATTTGTTCGGCCCATTGAAATAGCCGATATCTAGAGGAGGACCTCAACTGTTGCCCTATATACACTCTTCCCACTTCATGTTCTTTCTCTCAACTCGTCTTCGATCCACACCCTCGTGCGACCATTGTGTTTGGATTCTTTGTTGTGCGTTGAATAATTTGATGGCCTAATTGGGAACTGTTGTTGAAAGTTGAGTCAGCTCAGACAGATTCTGCGACAATCAAATTCATAATGGGCGACGCGAACAAAGCCAAACGTAGAATCTTTTTCCATTTGGCTTAGAGGGCGCGTAGTTAGCTACAAATAAAGCCGAGTGAGCGGTCAGTGGGGCGTGCTGTGAACAAAAAAGAAGAAGAAAAACAACCGTTGACTAGCACAGATTCCAGCAAGCCTCCCCCCCCCTCTAAAAGAAAACGAAAATATTTGAGGTGGAACCAGCCAAAAAAAAAAAGAGAATAGAAAAGAAAATTCTGAAAAAAAACTGCCAGCTCATCATTTGCAGCATTTTGCGACATGAAATTTGGAATTGGAACAGGCAGAAAAAAAAAAAACAAAAACAAAAGGAAAATGGCAAAGCAGAAGTTGCAACTCAGCGAGTGTTTAAGCGATTTGAGCTTGAGTACACTCATACATATACACACTCACACACGCGCACTCAACACATGTATCGCTAACCATTCAACAGGCTCTTGAGCTGTTCGCTGTTTGAAGAGCTTTAAGAACTGGGCGCAAAGTGTTTTGCCAGCTATTTTACCATTTATCCAATTCTATATTTGTACATTTCTTCAATTGTCTAGTTGTTCGGGCCCATGGCTCGCGAATCAATTGTCGCAACAGGTGCTGAATTCGTGGACTTAATTTGCTCAGAGTGCCTCAACAGCTGCTGGGATTGCTACAGTTGCTCTGGCTGGCTGGCTGCTGCTGCTGCTGCTGCTCAGAATGTGGGTCAGCGCCACAGCAACAACAATGCCAAAGAACAACTCCAACTTCAACTCGAACAGCAACAGCAACAACAACTCTTAACTGTGCCACAGCGCATTCAGTTACAACTGCCGCAGCGAAGCGGCACCAAACCCGAAACGAAATGAGCCGCCAGAGCCACCAAATGGCTGAGCCACTGATGGCCGAAATGTGAGACAGGATGAACAAGCATCTCGTTGTTGCGGTTGCCGTTGTTGTTGTAGTTGCTGTTGCATTTTCTTCTTCTTGTTTTTCCTTTTAGTGGCAGTTGCTTGTGTGTAGGCAGTAGACAAGTTCTTAAAGGAAGAAAAAAAAAAAATAAAATAACAAAAACAAAAATAGCGACTCGGAACAGGCTAAGAAAACTTCTTGCAACTGGTGCATCACATTTTGCATAGCTGCTGCATGAGATGGCGCACTTAGATATGAATATGCTGTTCTTTTCCCCACTTAAAGAAAGCAGCCACAATTTGTCGAAACTTAGTTGGAGTGAGAGAAGCCTAAATGGATTTGTGGCCATGAGTAAAATTTAATGATATGTGATTTAGCAACGAAAAGTCATAGAAGCTCTTTAGAGTGGTTAAGTAGAGAAGAAGTAGAAGTAGGACAAAAGTGGAGCTTAAGACTAAACTCAATTGAGATTTAGTGTTAAATGCGTTTTTTATAATTTAACTAATAAATTCTCATTACTGAATTACTATTGTATTTTTGATACCTAAAAAATGGTTTCATAAACCACATGGATTAAAGCTCAACTTAACTTCCCTTGCTTCCTGCCTTGAGTTGGCTATCTGTTAGCTATATATCATATTATATATATACATATATGTGGTTCATTGTGAGCTGTTTGAATCGGAATGTTTGATCTTATCAATTACTTAAATATTTGCTTTAACTCTTCTTCTCTCCTCTACTTCAGCCCAATGTAAACTCGATCTCGATTTTATAGAGCTTCAATTAGCTTCGCTTGAGCTCGATCTACATTTGGTTTTCACTACTTAACTCTTCTGTTGTTGTTGTAGCTTTTATTTGTTTGTATTCTAATCTAATCAAAATCGATTTCATCAATTTCCGCTGCGAAACTTGGCAACTTGATTGCCAGCAAATGAACTGAAACACATTTAAAAGTGGGCCAAGAAACAAAAAAAAAAAAAAAAAGCTTTTAGCGCTTAACGTTTAGTTAAAGCTGTTGTTGTTGTTATCGGCATTTTCTCATGTATTTTTGGTTAGTGTTGCTGGCTTTCTTAAGCCTCTGGCAGATGTGGGTCAGCTCCGTAGCTCTCCACCCCAACGACCCACCCGCCCGACACGCATCTCGTGCAGATGGCGACGCAGAATGAACGACAGATAACGACAGAGAAATCTCTTTCTTTTGCTGGCCGTCATGTGGCGGGTGGTGGTGGGTGGAGGTGGTTGTTGGTGTGTGAAGGGGCTGCTTAATGTTGCGGGCGGCTGGTCGTAATTTCTTTGGTCTTGTGGTCTGTGTGGCCTGCTGCAATTAAACGTTTTTCCACTTAAATGCAAATGCATTTGCATTTGCGCTGGCAAGTTCGTTGCTTAAGTCTTTTGTTTTGGGGCATGCAACGCGTACCGTTTCGCTCTAATGTTAAACCGCTTTTATGGCTGCCATTCTATTTCTTGGGGGCTCTTTTACGATTCGATTATAAAGCAACAAGTCACTTTTATACAACATTATTACGTTATTTCCGGGGCGGCACACTGTAGGTGTGTGTGTGTGTGTATGTGTGAGTATGAAAGAACAATAAACTTTAATTTCAACAAAGTCAACTCGCATTTTTTGGCTTCTGCTCAAGATGTGCTCACATATGCATAAGTGTGCGTGTGTATGTGTGTGTGTGTAAAGCTATAAAAGTAAACGCCGGCCGAGTGGCGCAGTGGGTAGGTGCAGTGCACTGCGCCATGTGGCGGTAGGGGCGTGGGGGGCAGCTAGTTATTTCTTTGGGGGCTGCTGCTACTCCGCATTTCAGTTCTTTTTGCTGCGTGCGCTTTTTTTCATAATTTTGTTGTTGTAGTTTTTTTTTTTAATGCGTTTCTCATGCTCTCGGCCCGTTGCTTTTTGCTGCTGCTTTTCGTTGTGTGTGTGTGTGCGTATCTGTGTGTCTTTCTTTTACACTAAATGCTTTCCTAATGAATTGGGTGACCAGCAACGACGACGTCGACGCTGACGACGATGGCGGCCCGGTAATAACGGTTAATTGCGTTAATGACTTTAACAGAAAATATAAAGCGCAGGCATTAAAATAATAAAAAAAAACTAAAGTAAAGTAGACAAAGTAGACAAAAAGAAAGAGCATTAAATGTGCCATTGCTGCGAGCGCATGTATGGTTGCTTGTGGCTGTCTGCCTGTGTAAGAGAGAGAGCGTGTCCAGCTGGGTGGCTTTAGACTTAGGGGGTTTGGGTCTTGCCTGCATTTTCCAATGAATTGAAAATGGCGCAAGTTGTGCAAAGCCAAAGCTCCGACTGCGGGCAATGTAAGTGAGTGCTCATCCTGCCACACACACACACACACATTTGCTCGCTCATACCTGCACTAAAGAAATACGCATGCAGTATGTGTACTCATATTTGATTTTATTCACATTAGAATTCAAGTTTGTTGCCTAAGTCTTTTGTTTGGTGACTGTATACGAAGGTTTACAGGTTTCTGCTTTATTATTTCGTAGATAATGATATTATCATCATTTGATATATATATATATATATATATATATATATATATATGTCTTGAGTGGTACTGCTCTATGCTCTAGCTAGGTTAGATAAACGTTATCTTCCCAGTGGCGTTCGCTTCACATAAATTTCTTCATTATTGTAAGCAATTTATTTTGCATTTTTTTTTTATTTTATTATTTTATAGTTGTGAAATTTATATAATTATTTATTTTAATTTTTAATATTTCAAATATTTTAATTTACTTGATTGAATTAAAAAAAAAAAGAATGAAAGATAATCAAAGAACTTTAACAAAGGAACTTTATTGTTTTTATTATTATTTGATATGTTGTTTTTTATATTTAATACATATATTTTTTTATATAATTTAGTTAATATGATTTTTCGGGAGTTTTATTTTGTAATTTTATATTTTCTGTATTATATTTTTATTTGATTGATTTTTATAATATCATAAATGATAATATCAAATATGAATTTGAATGGAATTATATTTGTATATTATATTTTAGCATTTTGTTTGGTTTACTAAATATTATTCTTGTGAAATATAACATTTACTAGGAGATGTTAAGCAGTATTTCTCATAACTGTTCATTTACCAGTTTTCTTTCGTACGACCTTCGTGTACATGTTTGGCATTATATTGTAAGTTTCCATTTTCTTAGCTGTTCTTTTTTGTTTCATTTCGGTTTTTGCAACACTTCTTAAAATTACGGAATACCATAAAAAAAATGTATAAAAAAATTCAGCACTTGTTGAGTTTTGAACTTCACAGGCATTTGGAGTTTTGCTTACCTTCGTTATGTTTATATTGCACAATAAATTGAATTAAGAGTTCTGTTTGTTCTCTTGTTGATGGTGTTTCTTGAGAAGGCTTTATGTTTTCGTTGACCTTCTTCGGTTTGTATGCGTTGGCTACGAAAATCCTTTCGCGTGTTTTTTTTTTATTTGCTTGTTGTTTTTTTTTTTTTTTTAGTATTGATGAACAGAAAAAAATGCTTGCACTTTCACACTTTCGACACTTTGTTGAGCGCTGTGGGGCACAAGGAGGTGTCTAGTACTCAAATCCGAATGCCACCAAATGTTGCAATGTTGCACACTACCAAGTTCACTAGGAGCACACAGAGTTGTTTAAAAAAAAAAAGTATTTAGTATGTCCACGCTAATGCTGCTGCTGCTGCTGATGATGCTGCTGCTGCTGCTGCTACTGCTGCTGATGCTAATGCTGACTCGACTCGGCGCTGTTGGCACTTCAATTGCATCACGCGCAATGGCTGGTGGGCCAGCGAGTGCGCCACTTTTATGCTTTTCCCAGAGGTCTCCACAGCGAAGAAGAACCAGCTGGGAGAGCGTACAAGAACAGCGGCAGAGAAAGCGACGCCGGCGTCGTCGTCATCATGTTAAGAAAGCTATGCAGCAGCACCAGCAACAGCAGCGGCAGCGATAGCGTCAGCAACAACAACAGCAACAACAGCAGAAGCAGCAATGCAAACGCACGAAGCAGAAGCGAAGAAAAGCGCGAGCCCATTTCTACTTTACACACACACACACAGTTACATACACACGTACACACATTTACATGGGCACTCACACAGACACGGTCGAGCGAGCGTTGCGCCTCTTCTGCAGAACAAGAAAGAGTTCACAAAGCTGAGAACGAGAGAGCGCGCTCTCCAAACTTACAACAACTATAGCGCACGCGCGCACACACACTCTCCACGGAGAGTTGGACTCGAGGCGACCTCAAGCTTAACAGCAACGGCAGCAGCAGCAACAGCAACAGCAGAGCAAGCAGCATTAACAGCACTCGCTGCTCGTAGCATTGAACTTGAACAACAGAGCGCCCACTGTTGCTGGCTGCGAGACAAGCAGCTCGCACGCCTCTCTCCGCTCTCCGCTCTCCGATCGCCGTTCGCCTCACTTTGCTGTTGTCTCAACATTACATGCTGAGAGACAACGGCACCTGTTACAGCGCATCGATTTGCATGGCTACCGTTCGGGGCGTTATGTAGTGCGGCAAGGGTGGAGGGCAAGCGGGCGGGCAGGCGCTGGGAATCGGTCGTAATCTTGTCAGCATCTGTGATGCTGTTGATCCACTATTGACCGATAAATATGCTAATGAATTATGCGCAGTCACTGCAGCAGCAGCCACGGCATGTTGTGTAATCAGGCAGCGATGCCAGCCCAATGATAAATATGGGCGTACTTTATTGATGGCCGTCAATGTAATGAACAAACATCCAAGAATCTACACGTATTTCCATTCTAACTGTACTCGAATTTAGAATGCGTTTCTACGTGCCTCCCAGAAGACTCACAAATATTGACTAATTGCTGTTGCTGCTTGGCATAGCTGAACATCTTACTAGATTATTTACCTTTCGCAGTTAACTTTTGGAATAACTTTCGGTATGCTAAGCTTGTTGAATTTTTAGAACTTCTAATATTCCATCTTCAAAAGCAATTTACAAATGTTTGCTCAGACGTTTTAACAGAAAAAATTATATATAGTTTTATTTTTATTTTGGAACTAATTTCTAAAAGTCAAATATCTATCATCATGCGGTATTTTATACGTTTTAGAGAACCGAGTAATGTTCATCCAATTATAAATCATCATCAAGCCGATGGTCCCAGTTGCCAGTGCTTAATTCTGAAGCTAGCTTTAGATTAATTCTAATCTAATAAGAATAAAGATATCATCATAGTCTATCATATCATAAACTAAAAAATGTATTTTCATTCAGTGTCTTCAAGCAAATTAATTTCTTGAGTTTGGGGTAATTGTAGAAAACATGTTAAGGTTTGAGACGAGGTCTTTGCTATTCGACTTCAGGATTGTACAAAAAACTATGATTATTCTCAAAGATAACATATTGAACAATTATATATATTACTCTATATGATAAACTACCATTTATACATTAGCTAGAAGCTAGAAGCTATGCAGTGTTTATAAGAAATATATTTGGCTTCTATGAATATTATTTTATTTTGACTTCATTCAATAAGCGATGATTATAAAGTTAAAGTTTATGTGAATTTGATAGGGTTCAATTTAACTGTTTTCTAATGAATGCGCATCCTCATTCAGCTGTAGACATATTGTTTATCCTACATACACAGCAGCAAATCACACCAAACATAAATAAGTCTCAGTGCGGGTTTAGAAAGCTGCAGTTAGCTTCTATAGAAATAAATATTACATTTTATGTACATCTGGCATGTACAATAAACACAGAGGTCTCTGGCCAATGGCGCTGTGAATTTTTCAGCTTTTCAAGCATTTCGTTTCATGTTTTTTTTAGTGTTTTGCTTAGTTGTTTCTTCTTTATTTTTTATGCGAATAGAAAGTGGTTGGGGTACAGCATATTTTGTTGATATTATGCCAATTAAGGCAAAGGGTGACAAATTCTACGGCCGTTACGTCCGAAATATGTTAAGTAAAAATGTATAAAGAAAGAAAGAAGAAAATCAGCTGAATCGCTGGCCATATTTGCATTAAACATTAACGGAGTTGCCTGCGAGGCGCAAAGAACTAACAGCAACAACAATAAACTAGCTGGAAATGAAGAAAACAAATATTAAAGTGGCTGCCCGTTTTGCGTTTTGCGGGCCAAGGTAGAGGCTGTGTCTGCGGCGACGTCAACTGCGACGCTGACTGCAGCAGAGACTGCGGCTGCTGCTGCTGCTGCTGTTGCTGCTGCTAAGTAATGAGAATTTAGTCAAGTAAACTCTACGCAGTCGCAGGTCATTGCCATGCTGCTAAACGGCGCAGCCAGCAAAAATGTTAACAGCGAGCCTTAACAGCGCCCTAACAGCGCCTTGTAGAGTTACCGCAGACGAGCGACTGTAAATGTAATCATAATTCATTAGAGGCGGCATCAATTGAGCTGCAGCTCGCCTTGCCATAACAGCAGCTGAAAGAAACGAGAGATGAAAATAGAGATGGAGACGGAGACTTGCCTTGGTCTGTCTGACTGTCTGACTGACTGCAAGCGACAATAATTAAGATCGGAACGAATGGAACGCTGCCGCTGTCGACGCCGACGTCGCAGTCGTTATTGTAGCTGGAGCAGCCGCCGCGAAAGCGTAAAGAAATCACTTAAAATAAGAAAATTGCTTGACGCTTTGGGTTCCGCTTATTTAATCTGCCGCTGTTTAGTGCACAGAGCAGCAGCCGCAGCCTAACTCCCACCAGCTGCAGCCCAGCTCTCGGCTAACCCCACCCACCACGCCGCACCTCCCACCTCCCACCTCCCACCTCCCACCTCCCATCGTCCCCTGAGAACATGTTCTATGTCACAGCTGCAAAAATCCAAAAGCCCCGTTGCTCGCCATTGCAACTGCTCCGCATTCAAGTAACTGCTGTGTTTTGGGCGCCAGCTATCAGTTACCTCATGCGCTAGTGATGGTTGCGTGATGCCAAAATACGACTTTTATAAATCTATGTGAATTCTATAAATATATAGGTATAAATATATATAATTCATATAACGGAATGTGTGAATATGTGCTTATATAAGAGTATTTCTCTTTTGTTGCTTATCACGCGCTCATCTCTAATATATCCTGTGATTTACTGCAATACAATCTAATCTGAACTTAAAATATTATGAGCTACGCTTTGTCATAATTTTATGTAATATTTAATTTCATTTTGATTGATGCTAATGTTATTAGTTAATGCAGACTCAAATGAACTACAGCAGTTCCATTCTGACAATGAATTGGAATATGAATATTAATATTATTTAAATGATTATTCAATTGAACAACTGAGCTTTCATAGTTAGGGCTTGTCGTATATGATATATATTTAGTTATATCTGATTGCTTGCCTCATGATATGCGATTAAAGCATAGCTGAATTGTGTGTCATCTCTAGCTGTCAATTCATGGCCGTTTCGTGTCACGCGCTCATCTCAAACAGCTGTCACAGCATCTCCTGCAGTCGCCTGGCATTCCAAGCAGCTGTTATGACAATCTTAACTCACAGCTGACGCAGCGCTTTTGACCAGTTTGCCATACACACACACACACACACATGCGGGCTTGTTGTGCGTCGCGATTTTTTGTTGTTTTTGGTTCTGTTCTAAATATTTGCACGGCTTTGGTCATTTTGTGGACGAGACAGCCTTTCTTTTTTTGCTCAGCTTTGGCGTGGCGTGGCGTGGCTTGGCTTGGCCTGGCTTGGTTCTCTTCTGGTCAGCTCAACTCTAGTATGTGGAAGGCTTTTACTTTTTTAGCCGAGTTCAGTTCAGTTCGGTTCAGTTGGACACTGTTCCGGTCTTCTCCATGCTCCAACGATGCCGGGGCGACAAAAAGATGGCCAACGCAAAGTCCGCATAACCTTTCACTTCCCTGGGCGAATAGTTAATCTCGTCTTTCCGTCCATCTGTTCATGTGTCCGACTGTCCATCCATCCGACTGTCTGTCTGTTTGTTTGTTTGTTTGTTTGGTTGGTTGTTGATTCGATTTGATTTCTAGCTAATTAGTTGTTATCATACAGGCCAGTTAATCACAGACAGCAGCTATTAACCGTTAGCTTTCCAATGCGGCCAACGAGTTTTCGATAGACAAAGCGTTCGCCAAGGCGGCCGGAAGTCGTCTCGGAGAAGGCGGCGATGATCTGAACAGATTCTAAACACGAGCTCAACCCATCTCAGCCAAGAATTTGTGTACAGCCCAAAAATTAATTTCATAATGGCCAGGCGTCTGGCTATTACACTAATGCCTACCAAAGAGCCCCTGTACGTGCGAGGCGAGCTGTGAGCTGAGCCCTGGCACTTGAGGTAACGCCACAAATTGAAGTTCAAACTTTCGGGCATATATACGTTATACTTGGGCATATTATGACAGCACCTCGAACAAAAGAATTCTCTCATACATCTCCAAAGGAATTGCTTAGTAGATAAAACGTTTTGTAACTATCGATTAACACGATGAAAAACTAAGCAGATTATGTTAAATATTCTTCAATAAAGACAACTTTTCGAAAAGAGATAAATTGAAGGAATAATTTATGTAATATGATATATTGTATAAAGGCTTATATGTGTGAGTAGGTATGGATAAAATATAGCGAAGTCAGGTGGAGAAAGCATGCTAACGAATCACGTGTAAAGCCCAGAGATCCATTCACATAGATCTATTGCTTAACAAATCGCTTAGTTGTTGCAGCATCTACATTAAGCTAATGAAATTTAAAATCTAGATACATCTGCGTACTTCTGAGCAGTAGTGCGATACGTAATAAGATATTGTATCTTAAATGAACTGAGGAACTATAAAAATGGTGATTATTGCCTCTCTCGCTCTCTCTCGCTCTCTCTCGCTATCTCTCGCTCTCTTTTGCAGCTGAATCTCTCACATAACTCTGCGAGAATGTTAATTTATAGAAATTAGCAGATAACACACTAAATTCTTTATAGCGGGTGTGGATCGTGTCCGCTGAATATGTGAATTACCCATTAAGGTATTTGCTGATGCAGCCCAAGATCGGAGGCACGCAGAGCTGTTGGAGAGATGGAGGATGGCGAGTGGGGGACAGCTCATTTAATGCTGTGGAGTTGCCGAAACGCAGGTGAGTTCTTTGGGCCTTCAATCAAGTCATGTCCAGGCTGAGGCTGAGGCTGGGGCTGGGACTGGGACTGGGGCTGGACCTTCTCTTGGCCCATTCGCTGTCAACAAGGCGCAAGAGGTTCGCTGCCAGTCAAAGAGTTGGCAGCAATTCGCTGGCCATGTCGGCTGGCCAGCCCCAAAGTGAACGCAGCTAATTAGCGCCTGGACTGCGGCTAACAAGATGCGCAGCTAGCAGCGACGCGGCGACGCCGACTGCGCAGCTGACTGCAGAGACAAGCGCAGTCATTTATTAGGCTGATTGCCGAGCCGAGCTGAGCTGCCGGGCTGATTAGCAAGGATTGCGAATTGCGGATCGCGGATCGCGGACCAGAGCAAAGGAAGCTGCAATTGCATTTGGCAGGCGAGTCCATTTAGTCTCTAATTAATTTTTGCGCAATTCTAAGACGTGCTTGACATTTATCTTAATAATTTTTGGCATCGCCTGTCGTCGGCTCTGGCTGGTGCTGAAGCTGGGACTGGGAGCTTGGAGCTTGGAGCTTGGAGGCCATTTGCATTTGGCCAATTTAAATGCTGGCAGACAGAAGAGGCGAAATGTTCGACGTGCCACGTTTGGCCGCAGCGACAGCGACATGCGACGCGCACATCGATCATCATTTGCGGCACGAAAAAAGTGAAATGCCCGCAAACCCCAGCGGGGGAGGGGCAAAGCGAAGGGGGCGAGGAGGGCGGCTAGCAGCAGAGTCAGCCAGCCCCGCCGGTCACACAGACGCTGGAATTCTGATTTTCTCGCTGCTGTTGATGATGATGAACGTCTTCGTCTCCGTCTCCATCTGGGCCTGCGTCTTGGTCGTGTCCAACGTAGCTGGGCATTAGAATTAAGCTGTAACTTTGCATCGAAATTAAATTTATAGCTCGAGCAGCAACTGCCAGCAAGAAGACAACAGCGACAACAGCAACAACAACAGCAACAACAACAACTACAGCAAGAGCCATTAGAAGAAAATCAGCAAAATTGCAAAGGAGAAAAAAATGTTTAAATAAGAAGAAGCACAAGATGATGATGATGAAGATGAAAAAATGCCAGCATAATAAACGTAGCGAGACATTAACTCGAAGCCCCCAAGGGTGGGGGCAAATGGGCCGAGGAGATCACTTGGGCAGGAGGCGGGCCGCTGGCAGCCTTTTTAACGGCTGCGGGGGCGGGGCCTAGACGATGACGGCAATCGTCAGACATCGCATTCACATGTGAAAGTTGTACAAAAACAAGAAAAATTATTGAGTTTAAACAAAAACAGAAGATGAATAACAACAACAACAACAAACAACAACAGCAATAAACAAAATAAAAAACGAAACAGAAAACAAGAAGAAGAAGCAGCAGTTGAATCTGAAGAGGAAAACGCGCCTGTCGATTGGCTTGCATGCTCATCTCCAAAGATCATGTCATATGCCGCTTGTTATTATGAACGATAATGATGATAATGATGGCACCATCGGACTGACCCAAATCTTCAGCTAGATGCGGCCATAAAACGAGATTAAGCTGCAGATGAGCGACAGCAATCCTAACGAAAAGATATCCTACATAAATTGGAGATAGTCTAAAATGCATTTGACATGAAAGAGCGAAACTCTTTCGCACTGCAGCAGCTGCGTATGAAAGTGTTTTAATACGAAACTATTAACTATCTTAGCTTGTTCCTATAGAGTAATCTGATATGAGCATGAGAATTAGGGCCAAAGTCGATGATAAGCTTTGTCAATGTGACACAATAACATATGTAAACAGAAGCGAAACAGAAGTATTTCTTGAAAGGTATTTGATATATGTGTATATATGTCTATTATAAAAAAGGGAGATTAATTTAAAGAAAGAGTTCATATTTGATCATTAATTTGAGAACAGTCACAAATAGAGTAAGTCCTACGAGTAGTACCAAATATACCCACATAAAATGTAGAAGTTGCAATCACAAAATATTTCTCGCACAATAAACAGATTTCGAGTGAGGTCTGTTAGAATATACTTAAACATAATATCCAAGAGATAATAAGTTAAAATGCACACGGGTTTCATTGGGTTTTGGATTTGTCTTAGGTACATAACCTATATAGTCTACTTAAGTATTCAGGCTCCTGCTGAGTTTTGTAAACATCGATATTTTCACACTTCTCCCGGATACTATATGTCTATATGCACAAGTAAATGCTCTCATATATCAAACAAAGTTATTTTTTGCCGTTGTTTTTGCATTTCGCTTTGTCTCTGCAGTTCTGTTTGTTCGATCTTTAGGTTTCACCTCGGCTTTGGGCCGAGCCAAATATAACCTCTTTGGCCATTGTCCAGTGTAATTTGCATCATGTTCTAGTTTCCATTTATGTATATATTTGCTTTTGCTTTTCGCTAAGGTCTCTGCTTTTTTGTTTTGGAATCAAATCAGAAAACAAACACATAAAAACAAATTTTGTAGAGAGAGAGGGAGATAGAGAAATAGAAACAAAAATGACTTTAAACTTCTACAAATAGTGCAAAGTTTGCTGGTCATTGCCGAACCGTTAGTTGGCCATATATAAGTATATCTGAACAACATATTTGGGCTAGACTGATGAGCGCATGAGCGGGCAGCCCGCTGATAAAGCGACCAGGGGAAGAGCAAACAAAAGACTTGGGCAACGAACGCGACGCAGGGCGACGCAAGCTGAAGCCAGTTTGCGGCATCTTTAGAAATAATTATCGCCTCTGTCCATATTGTTCTAACGTGAAAGTAAAAACCGTTAAGAATTAATAACTATGCAAAGTTTTTGGCCAAAAAATTTGCAAGGCAGCAACAGCAACAAAAACAAAAGCAACAACAACAAAAACAACAAAAAGAGTGCAAAAACAGCCAGAGGAAGGGGCAACAAAATTTATAAAAATAAACTTTTTCTTTTACTGGGTCAACTTTTTGTTGTTGCTGTTACTAATGCTGTTGTTTGGCTTTTACGTTTATAATAGCAACAACAACAACAATAGTCACATCAACAACGATAAATGAAAACAAATAACAGTCAAAACGAATCAAAGAACTTTATTTGATGTCTCAGCGACTGCTCGAGACGCTTCGATATATGCCATATAATAAATAAATAATAAAATCACTTCTGTGATTTATTGCGATTATCAATATGAAAGTGATACGCGACCCAGAGACCTACAGAACGCGCAGCGCTACGCGACCTCGCCCACTTCCAAAACCTAAAGCCATAGGCTAATCAATTTCCATATCCAGCTTATAGAGGTCGGTGGGGGCCAGTCTTCGACAACTAACTGTGGGCGTCGCTCTGACTCAATTTTACAATTTTGGCAACATTTTCGAAAACGAATAGAAGTTACCCAATTAGCTGAGTGATCGGCTATGTCAGAGTGCTCATTTGATGCCGTTGCCTGCTGTCGCCTGGGAGGTCCCCAATACTCTATATATGCATGTATGTATGTGTTTTTGCATATTTGTGTATAATTGCTGGAGATATAATTAATCACGGAATAGTCTTTAATTTAACTGTAATTTGCGGGTAATACTATCACACATTCCCCGCTGTCTGGTGTTCGGTTAGAGTTTTAGACTCAGTTCAGTTAGTGGACAGTTGTCAGCTGGCTGGCCATCATTATCGCTAGCGAGCGGCCATTATCATAATCATCATTATCATTAGCATTAGCATTGGCATTGGCTGAGCAAAGCGAGCTCGCGCTCAGCAGCCACAGCGACCATCACGACAACGGCGCAAAAACAACTGTAAAGCTCACTAAATACAGATACAGATACAGATACAGACAGAGATACAGCTAAATTTCAAGATACAGATCCTCAGCTAAATATATCCATGAATGAACAGTCGCAGACGTTGACTTTTCACTTCTTTGCTGTGCTTTGCTTTGTTTTGCTTTATTTTTGAAATTTTTTTTTTTTTTTTTTTTTTTTTGCCAAATAGCCGAAAGTCTGCCTGATTTTATCTGGCGTGAGAAAACACAGTTAGAACTTTCTTATGAAACAACTTGGATATTCGAGTTAATTACTTTTCCTTTTTAACATCAATGCATAAATAAATTCCAAACTCGTTATTTTGACAGTGCCCAAATCTTCGATTTCTGCAAAAATTAAAAAAGTTTCCTTCACCAAAAATATATTTTATACTACTTCAACTACTAAACAACAAATTAAAATTAAGTTCTATTAAAATTTGAATTGTTGTGTAAATGTCAAGGCAGTACAGCCTACTACTCCAATGCTATATCAGACATTTTAAGTAATTTCGGATAGCTTCATAGGTTAAAATTAAATAGAAAATCGTAAATAATATCCAAATAGCCAGAATTCAGCTTGGCAATTTCTATACATCACTTCAAGCATTCGTATATCACCTCGGCAAAGCAAACAGCTCACATCTCTAATCTATTTAGCTGAAGGTCATTTGGCGTAGGCGCCTCTGTAGACTTGAGCTGAATTCGAGGCCAACCAGCTCTCCCTCAACATCAAAGCCCATATTAAATGCCAATTCCGAATAGTCATTTAGGCCAACATACTCGTCGCAGAAAGGTAGATAGAAAAAAAAACAAAAACAACTAAAACCAAAAGCAGTTGCTAACAGTTGACCAGGCAACAATTGACCGATTTCCATGGCCTGCTCCTGGTCCACGGCTGGCTGATAAATGAATGAGACGTTGGCCAACACCATAACCAACCGAGCAGCATCGCTCCTAGTGCTAGTCGCTGACCTAGAATGCAGCTTCAGCTTTAGCTTTTACTGTTGTCTCTGCCTGTTCCATAGCTGCTTCTGATGCTGCTGTTGTTGCTGCTGCTGCTGCCGCTGCTGCTGTTCTGTGTTCTATTCTCTCTGTTTTATGTGTCGTCGCTTGCAGCGCTTTGTGTCCATGAGTTTGGTTACCAATACCGTTTGCTGCCAACTCCAGCGCCAACTATTAGCATAATCTCAGCCAATGCATTCGCAGCCCCATCCACAAGCGCAGTCGCGGTCGCCGTCGCTGTCGGACTTGACGTCGCAGTCGCCAGCTCTCATTATGCCTCTGACACTGGCAGCGGCTGTGGCACCTCATCATCGGCGGCATCAATTCGCCGCTTGATGCATCGCCAGTCAGCGTGTGAAGCGAACCTGGCCAAAGCCGGCTAAAAGCTGCTGCTGCCTGCTGCCTGTTGACTGCTGCCTGCTGCTCTTGCATGTTTAGCATTCCACTGCTGCCGTGGCAGCAACAGCAGCAGCAGCAGCAGCAGCCGCAGCAGTGGCAGCAACAGCGACTGAGTCAAATTCAGATTTATTTCCTTTGGTTCGGTTTGTTTTCTTATGCTAGAAATTAGAAGAGAATACGCTGAGTAGCAGCCACTGCTACACTGACAGAAAAAGAGAGTGTCAACTTTTGAAAACAAGGCAATGCATATGTAACTAGGAGCACATATATTGATTTTTTCATTAAATAAATTTATATAGATTTTTAATTTCATACATTAATAAAATGAGGCTATGAATAATTTCATATGAATAATTTCATTTTTCATATATCAATTGAAAAGCGAAAAAACTTACAAATATATCAACTATCACATGCCATGTATTGATGATTTCGCAAATATGCTGTTATCGATAATTAGTTGACAACTTATTTCAAACAAGCTGTAATCTATAAAAAAAGATTTTATGAATGGATTTTTTAAAATTATATCTTCAAATATTCATTATCCATCTTTGATCTATCTTTTATAGACTTTGGGAGTTATATTTTCATTTCACCATTTTCGATAACTATAGTCATATATCGAATGTTATTGATACTAATAGATAATATAGCGATATAGCTAATAAACTTGCATGAAGAAACTAAGCTCTCGTCTTCTGTACATTTCAGCTCATGATTATGCTTAAATAATATCCTTATCCTTATAAAATATATATGACATATAACAAAATTCCCGCTAAACATTAAAAGAATATAAGTGCTGACTTCACTTGGCCTATCCATTTGTATTTGCTTTGGTTTCTCTCAGTGCAATCGTATGCCTAATTCTATTCGTGTTTGTATTTATATTTGTATTCATGTTTGTATTGGCATAATTTCTGGCTTTCATGCGGTCTATGTGTGTGTGTGTGTGTGCGCCATAACGGCATTTATAACCTTTTCATTAGCTTTTTGATTTGAAACTCAAATCTGCCTCACGTTGTGTCTCTGCCACAGACAGCCAGCTCTAGCTCTATCTGTGCCCCCATGCCCCAACATTTGTCGAACAACCGTCGCACGCCATTTACGCGCATAATTTTCGGTTAGCCAAGTTTTTTGCCAGAGTCGTTTCCTCCTCTCTTATTTAGCTCTTTTCGTCTGACTGGGAGTCAACTCGACTCGCCGCATTGGCTTACGGCCAGTTCTTCAACTGTCTCTTCTTGGCCATGTTTAGTCAGCTAATATTGAATGAGCGGTTCGCCGGCTGTTTGTGCAAGTCTTTGGCGTTTTCTATTTGCCAATTTTGGGACAATTGCGAGTGCAAATAATTCCAGATTGAGTTCACTGATTATACGTCAAGTTCTGCCTGCCAGGCGAACTCATTACTGTCTATTTAAATATGCTAAGTGCAGTGGCAGATCGGCTAGTAGCCGATCGAGAAGTATGGAGTGCTAGGAAAGTGCAGCAAGACGACTTACAATAGTTGAATATGGCCAATCGCAAAATACATACCTAGATACTAAATCATGGGTACAGAGATTTAATTTCTTGGTCTTCTTTGATTAACAGCTTCCTTCTAATGGAAATCAGTGAATTTTATTTTTGATTATCCATGGATATAAATGCAAATAGGTTTACAAAGCTTGATCAAAGTACATGCATTGATTTTGTTGTAGTACCAGCTACAACATGATAAGCTAACTTGATAATGAATAAGCTGCAAGCCCGCTGATAGCCTTCAAAGGATTACAAGGCCGTGGAAAGGATTATCATCACTAAATTCATTTGTAGCCGTAACCAATAAATTTATCATTTCAGACACTCGTCCGATTTCTTCGGGGGTTTCGGCTAACTGCGGCACCGTATTGAGTATTATTTGAAATACCCGCATTCTCATCTGATCCATCTGGACGCCGATGTCCACGGCACTCAATCCAGCACCCTGGTTCAGCTGCTGCTGGCGCCTAGCATATCGTTGGCCCAGCATGCGATGCTCCCGTAGAATATTCTCCACGTTCTCCCGTATGCAGTCCAATTGCATCAGACGACACTCCCGCTCGCTTAATTCAGCCATATCAAATTGTAATATATTGGCAATTCGAGATATGAATTCAACTATATTCAACGAAACAAGCTCGAATTTGACATATTTGAAAGTCAAGTCGATGCTTTGCTTCCTATTGATTTCAATCATTATTTTCTGGCTGAATTACAGTTGTATTACAGTTGCCCCAAAGTATTAGCTAATCCCCCAGGATCATCTTGTGGGTTTTTTCTTCGCTATTATTACAGATCCATGTATATTCTTCTTCCATGGAAAAGCCTATTTCATGTTCAGTTTCTCTCCCGGCTGTGGTTTGGCTGTTAAGTACATAACTTATGAGACGCGATCAGTTAGATACTGCCCCGCCTGGGTGATCCCAATCATTCAACTTCATAACATGCCGACAGCCGAAAAATATAAAAAATAATAATAATAAAAAAAGTAAATAGACAGAGACGGAGACGGAGCAAGCAAGAGGGAAAGAGAAGTAAAGAAGATTTCACTGGCCAACGAAAATGAAAACGAAATTAATTTCACAATTATAGCAATTAAACGCAAAATAAATTGTGCTTTAAGTTGCAGTGAACGACAATGACCCGCTACGGTCCTCCTCGCACGCCCAGCCCCAGCCCCCGTCCCTGCCCCTGTCGCTGTCGCTGCTCTTTGCTCACGCAGGTGCCCCATGAAAGAAGCAGACGCATAGAATATGATAAAAGCACTTTTCATTACCCGTGTCCGACCCTCGTCGTTGTCGCTGTCGTTGTCGTTGTCGTTGTCGGCGTCGTTGTCTGACCGCCTGCCTCCCGCCTCCCCACCGAGCGCTGTCCACTAACCACAATCCGCTATATGTCATCTTTATTAAATTCCAAAACTTTTCATTCGAGATCTGATTCACTAGAGCATTAAACTTGCACCGCTTTGTTGAAAGTGTGGCTTTTGTTCAACTAAAATTTATTAATAGGCCTTTGCGCATGTGTGTGGACATACATATGTATCTGTGTTTTACACAGCTTCAATTTAATTAAATTATTAGCTGTTTGACTAATATTTAAGATATTAAATGGCGCATAATGCATATTATATATTAGCTACGAAATATTATATCTTAGTATGTATACTAAAGTTTTTGCTCACAAATTTTCATATCATATATTAATAATATTATTACAATAGTTTATCACAGCAGCTAATAGTTTAGGCAGCAGATAAGTACTAAAGACACACATATGTATATCTTATTTAGTATAGATATTTCATCAATAAAATATTAATTGGAAAAGTGGAGTATTTATTTTTAATACCTAATCAATCTTTACGGGCTACAAATTTTAGTCGTTAAATGCAAATATATTTGCATATTGATGACTAATCGTAAGCTAGCTCCGATAAGACCCATGCCAGTAAGTGAACTATAAGAGAGTTGTATATTGCTTGAGTTAATTAAAGCTTGAGAGCTTTGCCTACTCCTCGCATTGCGCACATTGCGCTCCTCAGGGAAAGGGTATTCAAGATTCGCGTACACGCTTCATGAACTTGTCGCCCGCTTTTCATGTGGCGCATTGTACACGACGCGTCGTGGCATCGTGTCAAAATTTCACTTAAAGAAAGGGCAGAAAAGTCGCTTCCGATGTCGAACCAAACTCGGCGCGACTCAAATGAACTGAACCGAACTGAGCTGAACTGAACCAAACTGCAATAATACTAAAACTGGCGGACGGACTCTGTCTGCTTGTGTGTCTCTCTCTCTCTATTTTTTGTTGGCATTAGACCGACTTTTATTTTTAGACGCTGCTTTTCCTCCATTTTATTTCGCTTCGTTTCGTTTTTATTTTGATTTTTATTATTATTTTGTTGTTGTAATTCTCGTGTTAAGTTGACTTTATTTTAATGTCCAGCCGCACTGAAGTCTGGCTCGCATATCTGCGCGGCTTTCTGCTGCACGTGTCGCACGTCTGCTTTCTTGTCATGGTCATCGTCGCTCATTGAATCTA